GGCCGCCCCCTGCCGGGGACCCCGCGGCCGGGCCAGGTCGTACAGGCCAGGTGCTCCGGGCGGTTCTCAAGTCGCGGGGCTGGGGCGCCTCGGCTAACCTGGGGAGGGCGCTCTGCTCCCGATCACCATTTTCCGCCTTAGGGGAGGAGACTCCCGGAGTCCACCCCGGCCCGACTCTGCACCTGAGGGACGGGTCTCCTAGACCCTCTCATCTTCTGGAATTGACCCTCCTCTAACTGCTTAGCTTGGCTCTTAGAGGAGGAACCCCCGGGGCTCGGACTTTGGGTCAGTTTGAGGAGGGGGCCTCTGAGACCTCTGATCTTGGAGCCTGGAGGGCAGGGATCTCTGATGAGTCTGGCCCTCTGACCCGGGAACAACGTGTCTAGGAAGTCTGGTCCTCGGTGTCTGCAGAGCAGCAGAGAGGTGAGGGGAGACAGCAATCTGTGAAGTGGATACACGAAAGCCGGAGGGGTGTTCCAGGAGGCTCCAAGTAACCAACACCCTACCTACAGGCAGGTAGCCGGCAGGCAGCGTGGACCCGGTGGGCTGAGTCTGCTACTGTCCTGCCGGGCCCCGCCCCTCCCGGCCCCGCCCCGAGGCCTGCTAGCTCCGCCCCTGGGAGGGCACTTCCGGCGCAGCGGAACTCCGAGTACCGACTGAGGTTGCCGGCGGATCACCTCTGTAGTCTCGGACGAGGCCCCATGAGTGCGGCGCCCCTGGTGGGCTACAGCAGCAGCGGCTCTGAGGATGAATCTGAGGCCGGAGTGCGGACCAAGCCCGGGCCTGGGGGCCGCTGTCGGTGAGGAGCCAGGAGGGAATCTCTCCGGAGGGGGCAAATTCGCGTGAAACCCGGACCAGACGTGAGGGTCGCTGGTTGGCGGGGCGAGGGTGCAGGGCGGCTCCCAGGGAAGGAGAAGGGGGCTCAGGAGGAAGAGAGGAGCCAGAAGATACCCCTGGACAAATCCCCAGTGCTCCCACCCGGCTAGGGCAGGGTTGGGAGGTAGGACATGGGGTCGTGTCCAGCCTCCGCCGCCGCTGATCCGCTCTAGCCTGGGGCGCATCGCTATACCATCTTAGGTCTGTTTCCTCATTGGAACACAATTGCAATAATAATATAGTAAGTAATAGCTAAAGCTTGTGGAGAGCTTTTTCATTCATGCAATTTTTTCTTTTTTTTTTTGCAGTTTTTGGCCAGGGCTGGGTTTGAACCCGCCACCTCTGGCATATGAGGCCAGCGCCCTATGGCCTCTGAGCCACAGGCACCGCCTGCAATTTTTTGTTCATTGAGCACCCACGCAGCGCCAGGGTCAGTTTTGGAAACTTACTAGAGAACAAAACTATCAAAGACTTAATTCCTGGAACGTACGTTTTTTAAATGTCAGGCCTTGTCTTTCCTGAGTGCATTACAGACATTATCTCAAATGATCTTACAATGGCTCTGTCAGGTAAAAATATACTTTATAAATATAAAATCTGAGGCCCAGAAAGGGGATCCGACTTGCCCAAGATCATAGAGCTAGAAAGTGTTTACACCAGCCCAGGCCTGTCCAGCTAGGGAATGTGACCTGTGAACCAAACATTGCTGTCTGTCAGATGTTTCCCACGGGGACTATGTATCCTGCTAAAGTCTGCTTCCAGAATTGGAAGACTCCAATGAGACAATACCAGGAAACAGCCTATGTGGATATCTTGAAGCTGCTTTAAGCATCTGGCAGGAAATACTCAGTTGCCGCTTGTTACAGCTTTCACTGTGTGTACAGTGGTAGAATATTCAAGGATAAATATGCTTGCTTTCTTTTTCTCTTGCAGTGGCCAGAGCCCCCTTCCCAGTCAGAGGTTGCCAGTACCTGATAGTGTGCTGAACATGTTTCCAGGCACTGAGGAGGGGCCTGAAGATGACAGTGCAAAACATGGGGGACGGGTTCGCACCTTCCCCCATGAGCGAGGCAACTGGGCCACCCATGTCTACATACCATGTGAGTAATGTGTGAAAGGCAAGTGACGGAGACAAATAGGTGCCACTTGAGAGAGGAATCTGGCCCGAACTAGAAGAAAGAAACCAGAAACCTGTGACGTAGGTGGTAGGAAAGATAATGATTCAGCAGGGAGAGAGCAAGTGTCAAGAACTGGGGATTTTCTCTAATCTTGGTATCAGTTTGAACTCATTGCCTGAAATACTTTTTTTTGGGGGGGGGGAGACAGTCTCACTCTGTTGCCCCAGATTAGAGTGTGGTGGCAGCACCCTAGCTCACAGCAACCTCAAACTGCTAGTCTCAAGCATTCTTCCTGCCTCAGCCTCCCAAGTAGCTAAGACTACAGGCTCCCACCACAATGCCCGGCTAATTTTTTCTATTTTTTGTAGAGATGGGGTCTCGCTTTTGCTCAGGCTGGTCTCGAAATCCTGAGCTCAAGGGATCCTCCCACCTCAGCCTCTCAGGAGTCCTAGGATTACAGGTGTGAGTTACTGCACCCAGCCCTGAAATACTTTTTATTAACCTGGGTATAATGTTTTCCCTGCTCATGAGGAAGTGATCAAAGGAGTTTTGGGGGCAGGGTGTCATCCCAAGGTGTAGCTGGCACTTTATTTCCAAGGGGGTCTGGGGTGTGCTGGGTTCAAGTTTCACCCCATCCCTGATGAACCAGTGGCAGGCAGAAAATGCCCAGACTTCAGAGTCAGACCTCACACCTCTACTCTGGGTGCCCTTTAGTAAATTACTAGACTTCCAGCTTCCTCATCTCTAAAATGGAGCTAATAGTAATAACTGTCTCTTAGAGTTTTTGCGAAAATTAGAGATAATCTATATCAGGTTCTTCATTTTTTTTGAGACAGAGTCTAACTCACTATGTTGCCCTTGGGAGAGTGCTGTGGCATCACAGCTTACAGCAACCTCAAACTCTTGGGCTTAAGTGATTCTCTCAGCCTCCAAAGTAGCTGGGACTACAGGTGCCCGCTACAAGCCCAGCTATTTTTTGTTGCAGTTGTCATTGTTGATTTGAGCTGGCCTGGGCTGGGTTTGAACCTGCCAGCCTCGGTGTATATGGCTGATGCCCTACCTACTGAGCTACGGGTGCTGCCAGGTTCTTAGCATAGTATACAAAGTGTACTTAACTGTTTTGTGTTAGGTCAGGTAAATTCTTGGACCCTTCATTTCCCCATCTGTAGAATAAGGATGAGATAATTCTCTATACCATATTTGTTCATTGTTAGTACTTAGGAAAGCAGTTGGCTTTTGTATATTAACTTTCCTGCAATCTTGCTGTTCATTTGTTCCAAATTTTTTGTCAGTTCTTTAGGATTCTTCTGCAGAGGCAATCATGTCATCTGTAAACAAAGGCAGTCTTATTTCTTCCTTCCCAATCTGTATACCTTTTAATTCCTTTTCTTGTCTTACTGCACTAACTAGGATTTCCAATGTGATGTTGAAAAGTAGTTCCAGGCACAGTGGTTCTTACTGGTAATCTTAAGCTACTTAGAAGGCTAAGGCAGGAAGCTTGCTTGAAACCAAGAGTGCAAGACCAGTCTGGGCAACATAGTGAGACACCATGCCTTAAAAAAAATTTTTTTTTAATTACCTGGGCATAGCACAGCTATTTGGGAGGTTGAAGTGGGAGGATCACTTGAACCCAGGAGTTTAGGGTTGCAGTAAGCTATGATTGCTCTATTCCACTCTAGCCTGAGTCACAGAGCAAGACCCATCTCTTTAAAAAAAAAAAAAAAAGAAAGAAAGAAAGAAAGGAAAGAAAAATAGTGTGAGAGGGACATCTTTGCCTTGTTCCTGATCTTAGTGGAAAAGTTTTGAAGTTTCTCATCACTGTGTATATTAGCTGTGCGTTTTTTGTAGACATTCTTTATCAAATTGATAAAGTTCCCCTCTCAGTTTACTGCAGGTTATCATGAATGGACATTGGATTTTGTCAAATGTGTGATTTTTCTTCTTTAGCCTGTTGATAAGATGGATTACATTGATTTTTAAATGTTGAGCCAGTCTTGCATATTTGAAATAGGTCCCACTTACTCATGGTATGTTAGCCTTCTTATATATTGTTGAGTTTGATTTGCTAGTATTTCGTTGAGGATCTTGCATCTATGGCCATGAAAGATATTGGTCTGTAATTTTATTTTTTTGTAGTATCTTTATCTGGTTTTGGTATGAGGATAATGCTGGCCTCATAGAATAAGTCAGGAAGTATTCTCTCTGCTGCTATCTTCTGAAAGTGATTGGAGAGAATTGGTTTAATTTCTTCCTTAAGTTACATGGAACTACCCAGTGAATCTATCTGGACTTGTTATTTTGGAAAGTAGTTAATTATCGATACAATTTCTTTAACAGATACAGGCCTAATTACATTGTCTATCTTTTGTGAATTTGGCAAATTGTGTCTTTCAAAGAATTGTTCCAATTCATTTAGGTTATCAAGCTTGTGGATATATTATTCTTAGTATCCCTTGATTACCCTTTGTCCATGGGCTCTGTAGTGATGTACCTCTTTAATTTTCAATATTAGTCATTTGTATCCTCTGTTCTTTTTTATTTTCTAGCTAGAGGATTAATAATTGTATTGGTGTTTTTTGCTAAGGAACCAGCTTTTTAGTTTGTTGATTTTTCTCAATTGATTTCCTATTTTCACTTTTATTGATTTCTGCTCTACATTTTATTGTTCGTTTTCTTCTGCTTACTTTGGATTGAATTTGCTATTGAGTTTTCTGATTTCCTAAGGTAGAAGTTTAGATGATTGACTTTTAGAATTTTTTTTTTGCAGTTTTTGTCTAGGACCAGGTTTGAACCCACCATCTCTGGTATATGGGGCCAGCACCCTACTCCTTTGAGCCACAGGCACCACCTGATTTTTAGAACTTCTTTTCTAATATATGCATTTAATGTTAGAAATATCCTTCTAAGCACCTCTTTTATTGCATTCCCCAAGTTTTGATGAGGTGTGTTTTCATTTCCATTTGGGTCAAAATATTTGTAAATTTCTTTTGAGATTTTATTTTTATTTTTATTTTTTGTAGAGACAGAGTCTCACTTTATTGTCCTCAGTAGAGTGCTGTAGCATCACAGCTCACAGCAACCTCCAACTCCTGGGCTTAAGCGATTCTCCTGCCTCAGCCTCCCAAGTAGCTGGAACTATAGGCTCCCGTCACAACACCTAGATATTTTTTTGTTGCAGTTTGGCCAGGGCCAGGTTCGAACCTGCCACCATCAGTATATGGGGCCAGCGCCCTACCCACTGAGCCATAGGCGCCACCCTCTTTTGTGTTATTTAGAAGTGTGTTGTTTAATCTCCAGGCATTTTGGGACTTTTCAGTTATCTTTCTGTTACTGATTTCTGAGATCAGACATTGTATGACTTCTAGATTTTTAATTCGTTACACAGTTCTAATGCCTGTCTCTTCAAATTGTCTTTTGTCCTTTTACGAGGTCTTATACTTTTTTCTTGATAGCTGAACATGCTGTACTGTAGCAAAGGAACTGCTGTAAAGATGCCTGTAGTAATATATGGTGAGGTGTGGAGGGGAGAGAAGCTTGCTCTCATCCTGTGATTAGGTCTTAGTCTTCAGGTGACTGTGAACTTCCACATGCTTCTCAGATTTTTTTCCCTCTTAGGTGGAACAGAGTGGCAAGGGGATCTGCAGTTGGGGTTTCACTTCCCCCATGTCAGTTAGTGTCTAATAAAACACCAACAGGTTAGGCTCTATTTATAGTTTCTCCTTTTTAAGGACAAAAATTATTTTCTGTTAAGACAAATAGAATTCTCAGGCAGTGCCTATGGCTCAGTGAGTAGAGCACTGGCCCCATATATTGAGGGTGGCAGTTGGAACCCGGCCCTGGCCAAACTCCAACCAAAAATAGCCAGGCATTGTGGCAGACGCCTGTAGTCCCAGCTACTTGGGAGGCTGAGGCAAGAGAATCGCCTAAATCCAGGAGTTGGAAGTTGCTGTGAGCTGTGATGCCAAAGCACTCTACCAAGGGCGATAAAGTAAGATTCTGTCTCTAAAAAAAAAAAAGAAAGAAAGAAAAAGAAAAGTAGAATTCTCTGTGTACTTCAAAATGGTTTCTTTTGCCTTCCACCTGCCAGATGCACAGGGCATTTTTCTCCCATATTCAGTATGATAACATGATAGAAGTCTAGAAGATAAACCTCAACAAAGTATAGGAGCTCCCCATGACTGGGTACCCCTGGCATATTTAACTCTCAGATTTGCACGCACTGAGTCTCCAGCAGTGTGTTCATTACAGTTCCAGTTTCTCTGCCAGGATCCTGGCTCCTGCAGAGGTCTCAGCTGTGGGTTTCTGATCTGGTCTGGTAATCTGTGAGTGTCAGTATTCACCTGTTGGTCTCCCTGATTTGGGGGGCAGCAGCTTACCCTGTGCCCTCACTTCTCCTGTAGAACTAAGAATAGTTGCTTGTTCAACATTTTACTTGTTGTTAGGACAAAGGGGTGATTTCCAAGCTTCTTACATGCTGGACCAGAAACCAGAAGTCCCCTGTATCTTGTTTATTTGAATTCTTTTTTTTTTTTTTTTTTTGAGGCAGAGCCTCTAGCTGTCCCCCTGGGCAGAGTGCCATGGCATCACAGCTCACAGCAACCTCCAACTCCTGGGCTCAAGTGAGTCTCCTGCCTCAGCCTCCCAAGTAGCTGGGGCCACAGGCGCCCACCACAATGCCTGGCTATTTTTTGGTTGCAGCCATCATTGTTTTTGGTGGGCCCAGGCTGTATTTGAACTCGCCACCTTAGGTGTATGTGGCTGGCGCCTTAGCCACTTGAGCCACAGGCGCCGAGCCTACTTGAATTCTTTATAATGAACATGTGTTACTTCTATAACTAGAAATGCTTAGTAAAACTTTATGGGAATACAGAGACATAGTAACTCCCAAAGCAACTCTTTCCCCAAACCCAGAGTAATCAGAGCCTCTCTCTGCCTTCTGGGTTCCTTCATTCAGCCATGACATCTTGGCTAAGAGAACAGCCCACCCTTTCACTCTTCTCCTGCAGATGAAGCCAAGGAGGAGTTCCTGGATCTGCTTAATGTGTTGCTGCCCCATGCCCAGACGTACGTGCCCCGGCTGGTGAGGATGGAGGAATTCCACCTCAGCCTGTCCCAGAGCGTGGTTCTGCGCCACCACTGGATCCTCCCCTTTGTGCAGGCTCTGAAAAACCGAATGGCTTCCTTTCACAGGTGAGCGCTTCCCTCTGCTTCTCAGCTCCTCCCCTCCAAGGCTCCTCTTCCTTTTCTGAGCTACTGTGGGGAGGTAAGTGTGGGGTGTGTATTGCTCCAGCAAGCAGGCCAAACCTAAAGGGTTGACCATGGAACATCTGAGAGTGCCTGCTGTATATCTTATCCTGCATGACCTCAGGCATACCCTGCAAGCTCTTGTATCTGCTGTATAGGAAAACAGCTCTTTTTCTATATACTCTCACTCAGGATTTCCATCACTTCTGTGATGAGCTAGGTGGAGTTTTTTTTCTCTGTGTGTGTTATCAGGACTTTCTTGATCATGGGTACCAGAAACCCAACCCAAAGTGGCTTAAGCCAAAGGAGAATTTATAGGCTGGTGTCACTAAAAAGGTTCAGAGGTGACACTGGATTCCACAAGAGTGAATGAGGGTGACTAGAAGATGTCAGATAGCACCTGACTCTCACCATCTAATCTCTGTCCCCCTCTGTGGTGGCTTCCTTCTCAACAATGACAAAGGAAGCCACCAGCATCTCCAGGCTGATGATCTACCAGCCTGGAAAGATAGCCCTGTTTTCTAATTGGTTTCAGCAAAAGTCATAGGAATGACTGGTCTGACTCAGCTTACGTGCTCTCCCTTTGTGAGTAATGAGTTAACAGTCCCTTTCTGCTTCTACATGAGAGCGCTTCTCTTAGCCTGCTGAAGCTCTTCCTGGATATAGGTGTCAGTTGTGTTACTTATGGTGAAAATGACTAACTGGCCAATAGCATCTGGACTGGGAAATCTGAGTGAATGGGGCCATGGCTTTGGGCTTCACCACATGCAGTGGTTCTTCCACTATGCAGGTGCCTCACTGGTTCCTCTAGACTCTAGACTTTGCCTGAGGGCTATTGCTAGAGATATGGGTCCCAGTGGGGTGTACATGTGGCTTGTTCTCTTGCTCACTAGGGAACCGGAGAATAGCATGTGGGCCATTGGGCTTGCTCCTTCTGAAGAAGTGGATCTGATGTTGCCCTGCTGGCACACAGTGTTTTCTGCCCTGTGTCCTCAGTGAAGCCAGGCCAGGCCAGGTGTGTTTTCTTCAAGTTTGATTGTCTGCTTGAGCCTAAGATCACCAAGAATGGGCAGTGTACCCCCGATTCTATTGCTGAGACTGAGGAAGTATCATGCTTTGATTGGCCAGGCCTGGGTCAGGTGCCGCCTCTGGCACAGGGTGGAGAGCAGCCCCCCAACACAAGGATAACAAGAGCAAGGGTGTTGGTTGGGCACAAACATCCAGTGTCCACTCAGGGATTTTTGTCAGACACCTTGCAGAACTCTTTCAAAAATGTATGCTTAACCAAACTCCATCATGGTGGTTCTATCATCCTTTACATTTAAAAAAAACTGATGCATTAGGAAGCTGAAGGCTATCTGACTGACTGACTGACTTTCTGTCCTTGGAAAAATTGTGAGACCGTACCTAGCCTGCCGATGTATCCTGTCCCTCAGCCGGGATGAGACCCTTTGCCTGGGAATATAAAATGAATTGCCAAGTTGGCCCATGAGCAGCAGGCAATCAGTCTGTCCCTCTGAGATGTCTAGTGTCCCACAGAACACAGTCAGAACCAGCTAAAGTCAAAACGCTACCCACTTGAGCCTGTGTTACTGATCTGAGGGGTGGTAGGGGGGTAGGTATTTCTGCCTTGAGGTCACACCAACAGAAACCCACTTTCCCTCACTAAAAGGTCATAGGTGAGAACGAGGATTTTAAAATCAGGCAGACTGAGGTTCAAGTCTGGCTCACTGAATTCACCAAGAGTCAGTTTTCTTGTCTGTAAAATGGGTATAGTTATAGTGCCTGTCTTACAGAGCTGTGTGATGATTCCACAAGCTGATATGCACGAAGCCTTGAGCTCAGCCCCTGGAACCTAAGAAATGTTCTCACTGTTGCTTAGACTAAATCTGAAGGGTCTTTTCTTAACTTGCAAGAAATAAATTGGCCCTTAAATGATCTATTATCGGCTCGGTGCCTATAGCTCAACCGGCTAAGGCATCAGCCATGTACACCTAAGGTGGCGGGTTCGAATCCCCAGCCCGG